AATAAGACAGCTTTAGAAGGAGAAGTTGGGAGTGAGAGAGGTGAAGCAGAGAGTAGAATATGCGAGTGACGAGGAAGAACTGAGAAAGAGTGAAGAGGAGAGACCTTTTGAGTCCTGACGAGGCCAGTAGTATTTAAATAGACCAAGCTTTGTTGTTGTTCTTCTTCTTCTTTTTTAAAAGATATACGTACGCCAGAGAAGGAAGAAGAAGTTGTGTGATGTTAAGAAAATGATTAATTTATAATTTTTATTTAAATCAATCTCGAGGTCGATTTATAGAATTGATATATTTAGCTAGTGATTTGGTGGACTAAGTTGGACGCTGAATATAACAAGCTTATTCAATTACCAACCGAATATGGTATATCGGTTAAGCGAATTATTTGAATGCACATAGGATTTCTTTGCGGTTTATGCTCAACAATCACATGAGACTCATACGACTTACAATATGGAGATGATGAGCGTTAGTCAAACAAGTGAAAGTGTATTCCAACATTGAGATCTTTTCCCTCTTTTTCCCCCCTTTTCTCCATTTTTGGTAAGCACTCCATCAAGGGAAGAACATTTTGCCTTGCTTGTAGTCTATATGAAAACCAATTGGATACATATGACTAATGTATCGAACGAGAGCCCCTAGGATTGATGTAGTGGCTTGCGGTATTAGGGATTTTCAGCTTGGAAATTTGAGGAAAACTTATTCGCATCTCACCAACTGAGTGCGAATTGCTATGGGTTAGGGCCAATTACTTAGGTTAACAATCTAGGCTTAATCAGTTCATTGGGAACTTACGGGGTATTTCATGAGCCTCTAAATAGCTGGGTCTCCATGCCCATGGCCCCAGATGATAAGAAACGGAAGAACATATCGAATTGAAGCTTAATTTACAACATTGCAAATTCAAGGTTTTTTGGTAAATAATTTTCCTTCGGACCTTTCGAAACAAACAAAGATGTTCGAGAGAGGTTGTGTTAAGTTTGATGGATGAACATTGATGGGACAACCACTCAATTAAATTCCTTATAAACCTTCTTTGAAAAGTCTCTTTTGAAGTTGGGCTTTAGGAGGAGAAGAGATATATTTTGGGGTCCGATGGTGATATACAAGTCAAAGTCGTAGAGCATCCTAAAGGGCAACATAGCACAAGGCCATTGATGGGTGATAGCAACAGTCTGGATGAGACGAGACACTGTGCATGCAAAAACTGAGCAGTGCACAGGACATGTCGTCTTCATCATGGTATCCTCTCATCCTCTTACGTGGTGTTGAAATATGGCAATTTCTCAGCTATTCCTGATCCCCTCTCTCTCTCTCTCTGCCACTGTGCTTCTGTCTCACCTCTTATGTTATTGCTCTCTCTCCAGTCCCTGAAATAATAGGGTTGCTTCTCGTTTAACTTGTGGGGGTCCATCCTGATACATAGTCACATGCAAGTTTCCATAGATGCTTGTTCTGTCACTATTTTTTGAACTTCTTTTTTTCCCTCTGCCAAGATTCTACTGGGAAACAAGCATCACAGATGATCTATACCGAGATATTTCTCCTTGTGTCTCTTCCTACCTGTATTTTATTCTTTGGTGAGATTATGCATGCTTTCTGGACTTATAACAAACAATTTGCCCCTTTATTAGCTTCCAGCAAATTGGGCTGGCTAATTTTCAGACCGAAATACTAGCATATACCTAATTTTTCCAATAGATTTCTCGAACCGACTGCATTTTATGGAGGGTAAAGTTTTATTTTCATGTCGGAGGTCGTAGTGGGATCCTCAAAGAGATGGTGTTACAAAAGAAACATGTGTCCGTTTTTTATATTGAATGATCACATGACAGTACATAATCTCAAGAGTCCTTGTGAAGAGACAAAGTTACATCTGTAGTATAATGTTCCAAAATAGTCTGGCATGTGTATATTTTCTTATTTTTCTTTTGCTTTGATGTTGGGTGAATAAAGGGTATATAAGAGAGTAAAGCAAAGAGAGGGAAAAAACAAGGAAGGCAAATGTACAAGGGAGCCAACATGACTGATTGCCCTAAATTGGCTTCCATGCTGTCGGTCTCTGTGTCCTTAAAAACAGGGTTTTGCCCTCTTGTCGTGTATGAACAAAGCAGCATACACTTGAAAGGACAGAGACACCTCACTGCACTGATCTTTCTTTCGTTTCTCCTGGCGATATCGTTCGCTAGTCAATCTATAGTTCCACTTGCTGAGTACGGAGGCAAAGGTAGAAGAAAAAAGACTTTGGAGGGCCCTTAAGATTGCCCGTGGAGGTGGACTAGTCGACGTGCGTAGAAGCTGGCCCGAACATCACTTGACCACTAAACCAAGAGAAGAAAAAAGATACTCTCAACTTGCGTTGTTTTTCGCAAATGCCCTCATTCTTCGGATTTTGGCATACAAACTCAACCACCTTACGGAGTTTTACAAACATCCTCTTACTGTTATGTTTGATGATCTTGTTCGAATATTGCCAGAATATTTCCTAAATTTTCGAGGGATTTCATGAGGTTATAAATGATTATGTAGTTTTGGCTATTTTCTATGTTTAGCTAGTTTCATTGTAAGATTACTTATCTCACTGCGCATATTATTCTTGTATAAATACCGCTTTATCGCAATACGTTGTTGATTCTAAGTAATGTACCAATCATTCTTTATTATCTGTTCTAATTTGGTAAATAAATGTTCGCCTCTTGCGGTAATTCAAGATTTTGCCGATCATGTAGGAATGTTTATTGAAAAATTCTGAGCTTTTGTCGGAATTATATGAGACTGTAATTAATTTTGTGATTTTTGTTGTTTCCTCATATATGGTATGAACATAAAGGAGATAGACTCGTAATTGTTCCCTTTACCGTAAGAATCAAACACACCATGAATTGAAAAGGATATCCATTAATGAAGACTCAATACAAACAAAATCATTGCCTTTCATTATTAAGAATTTGAAAAAAAAAAAAAGAAATGGAGGGGGGTGGCCTGTTTGGAAATAGTAACATCACACTTGTTATATCTACTTATTACTTCTAATTATTCTTCCAAAATTTGAAACTAAGAAAATAAATTTTAAGTCTTGAAATATTATGGAAAAATTTATATCTGATTCTACATATGAAAAAAGTCAAAGTCCGCGAACTGCAAAATCTATATATCGTAATAAGTGAAAATAAAAAGTCACTCCAAACGGCAAAATCCTAAATCGGATTTTCAGCATTTTAAAGATTCGGTTGGATCCTTTTGGGGCATTGTTTGTTTGTTTTTTTTTTTTTTTGTAACCGAGGTGTTCGGGCCAGCTTGCGCGCACCTCGACTATTCCTCGGGGGAGACTAGCACAGCAACCCACCGCCATGACCCCCCACTTAAATCACAAGTGCTTAGCTGGGGAATCGAACCTGGGACCAGTGCGCCTAACCACATAATCCCAAGTACGCCCTAACCAACTGAGCTACCCATAGATAGGTCCTTTTGGGGCATTGTTTAGCTAGAAGAAAAACCATTAAAGGTCGTAATTGTGAAAATATCTGCAACAATTTGAAAAGGATTAGGTATTATTTGCAAAGATCAAAATATTAAATGTCCAACACAAAAGCTTAAACTTATATGTGGAGGGAGATCACATGAATATGTCAAGCGATGTGGGACAATACTTTAACACCCCTTTTCACGTGCAAGCCGATACGAGCGACATGTGGAATTTGACTAATGGGGTGGATGCATGTTCGCAAAAGGGATAGACCTAGCTCAAATATCATGTTAGAATGCCAAATCCAAAAACTTAGGTTTATAGGTGGAGAGAGACCGTATGAATATGCCAAACGATGTGGGACAATAGGCGCGTACCCCATGCCTCGTGCCGAGCCGAGCCGAGCCGGCAGGCTTGGCCCCTCGGCCTAGCATGCGCCCCTCCCAAGGGTTGATCCGTTGCTGCGCAATCCTAATGGCGCTGGCCGGGCTCGGGACTGCACGGTGCCATTTGCCATGTCTAGCATTTGCAACTTCAACCCGGAAGAATGCAGATGCCATGACTCCCTGAATGTGATTCCTTCGGCTCATATTATCACACCGTAATCGAGGTCAGGCTTTCTTTTCCGACCTGAGTCTAGTGTGCACTTTGCATCAAGTCTTTTCTGATCCGTGAGATCAACAATTGAAGATGTCGCACATCATCGAAAGACAGTAAGCAAGCAAATGAGCAGGGTCAGCTCAGTTACACCAAGCCGGCGGAGGGAATGGGGCGGTCTGCTTGAATACGAGTTTATAAGAGGGTAAAATCGAAAACAATATAACTGTCTTTGCTATATGTTCGAGGAACTATATCTCAATTATCGGCATGCTCAGCCGTGAAAACCAGACCCAGGGGACCGGCGATTCCATTTCTGTCCAGAGGCGGAATTCAGGTGGGACTGAAAAAGTGATGATCGATGCTTCATTGCCCCGTGGAAGCGAAGCTTTTGAAGTGACATGTAAGATTTTGGCCCTAAAATGCATGGCCACAACATCGTCGAAATGCGACTGTACTAGATATTATAGGATGCAGTTCGTTTTCTTCCACCAATGTCTTTGATAAACACGATACTTTTTTCTCTTTTGGCCCAAACGCATGGACTCGATACCGACGTGCGCTTTTATGTGGATGTGAAAACCGAAAGGTGCCCGAGAAGAAAATCGCTGAACAGAGCACATCCAGAGAGTCAAGCAATATATGAAGATGCATGGAGCAACTAATAACTAACACAAGCATTTTCTCCAGAAAGCATATCACGGTGTTATCCTGGTGTCATGGGACATCATACACCACGGCCGACATTATGCAGATGACTCAACAGCGAAACCTAAAGAAAGGATGACTCAAGCACATGGTAATCACTCAGGCAAAGCTTTGAAAGTGGACAAGACTAAACTGAGATCTCAAACTCAGCATTAGCATTTTCGATAGATTATGGACGAACATTAAGCACCATTTACAGTGAATTAATGGTTTAGAAGTAGGGAGAATATCTGCACACGTCGACTATGAACTGAGGAACAAATTGAAAGGTTAGGGTCTTTTAAGCTTTGCTGCTACCGCTTTCTAAATCATGTATACACAAACATTATCACTTAGGTGAGACAACCAAATTAGATGTCACGAAGAAAGAAATATCTTCACTTGGAAAAATTCCCAATTCCTTTACGCCCCGATTAAAAACTAAGACAGTGGTGTTCTCCCTTTTGAAATGGCGACCCTGCAGGACTGACCAAACCAAGACTTCTCATTACTCGCAATCGCCGGGCGGAAAATTCTTGAGCTCTTCCAGTTGAACTGGGAGAAGGTGCCTGAGATTTGTTTTTCTGGAAAGAAAAAACTAGTTCACCAGCAGAAAGACAGAAACGCGATCATTAGTCGAGCAAAAGTAGCATACTCACCGTTGCACTCGTTGGCTTCTTTTTCTTCACCGACTCAACTTGTTTTGCAGCTTGCATCTCTGTTTCCTCCTTGGCGTATTTTATATTTGGCTGGAGCTCCTTCTGCACATTATCTTGCGCCGTTTTTCTTTTGTTTGCATTCAGCTTCTTCACTGACCTGTCTAGCAAAGGGGGTTCATTGATTGAATTCTCATCCACCCTTATGCTACTTGGCTTGCAGTTTTTCCGGTTCTCTTCCTGCTTCAAAATTTCGCATTCTTTATCACGGTCCATAATCCGGCCTTTCCTCTTTAACCCTCGGGGCATGCTATCATGTTGATCAACTTCGCCACAGCCTTGTTGTTCATGCTGGCAAAAGCTCTTCTGCTTCTGTTCATTCTCCACCTCATGATGCTTCAATGATTTGCTTTCCACTTTCGAACAGTTGACAATGGCCTTGGGCTTAACCTGTGGACCAAGCTGTCCCGAGATCCTTAGTTTTGCATTTTCTGCTGCACTTCGTCCATACAGCTTGATTCTGCTTGACACACTATCTTGCTTCAATTTTGAGTTCTTCCTCTTTGCTGAAACAGAAGCATTCTCGGTGCTTAATTCATGATTTTTCTTAACCCCATCTTGATTGGGAGTTCTGATCTTCAGATTCTTGGTGCTCCCATTCTTTTGCTCTAGACATTTGTCAATTCTCTCTCTCCCAGAAATGCCACTCTCTCCTGCCTCTACAGTTCTTGGTGTTGTTGGCAAAACATCTTTACTATTTGATGGATCTGGATTGTCACTTAGCCTTTCTTTTCTGCGTGTCTTACCACGATGAAAGGTTTTCAAGGTTGCTCCTTCAGCTCTCTGAGAACCCTAGAAGCAACAGACTCTTCAGACAGGTACAAGCAGCAAATGTGCATCAAGAAAATCAGCCCAATGGCCATGCATATGAGGCCTAGTGTTTACCAACTTCATCTTAGATCTCTCAGCTATTGGATCACCTCTTCGTCCTGCAGTCCTCTTCGAACTTAGATCTGTGTAACCTTCTGCATCAGCATCTCCCTGGAACCAAGATTATTTACAACATCTCAAGAGTCATTATGAGCAAGTAAGGGTATTATAATACAAAAAACCATTCTACGCCAACCCACAGATTTCCTGTCTTGTAGATTCTGAGATCTATCCTCAGTATCTTGATTCGATCCATTATCCTTGGAAGCACCATTCCTTCTTCTATCTGCACAAAACATATCAAAATTATATATACAACAACTAGTATCTTTACATTTGAGGGTAGCGAGCAAAGAAAAAAATGCCTCAAGAAAGCAATAGTTTGATAGATAACTTATTCTCCTACCACAACGATGGGCAGATTCAAACAAACAGGCATTGACTAAACAGGAAACCTGGAACTCCTATCATAGACTCGCAGCTTTATATATGTGAGCCATGCACATGCAGACAAATGCTAAACCTAATGTCATTGCGAGGTGTCTTTTATTTCTTTGGCACTCAATCTTCAGAGCGACATAGATCATATCTCTGGGGCTGTATAAGTCAAAAGCATGTCAACAAATGCACTTGAGTGAGTTAACTATTGAAAAGGTCGAGTACTCTGCATATTATATTCACAAAAGACAGTCTAAAATGAAGGTAGCCAGCCTAAAGCCTATGACCCAGTTTGACGTACAGTTCAACTTGCTATCTGAGCAGGCTTTTGAAAGCCAGAATGAGCAGCTCAGACAGCTGCAAAAGCTAGAGAGATCTATGCATCCTGACATTTTCAAGCGGCAAGGTAATTAGGCCACTAGCTTCGTAGTCAATGAAAAAATCACTATACAAATCTTTGTATATTGTATACATAGAGGAATCAAGCAACAGTTCAAGCTTCACCAGTTTCCATCCACAACTTGGTTAAATTATTTAGATGACGCTAGTTCACAAGATATATGTTGTTGAACATGCTATATGGTATCACCAGTTTTCTTGAACTCCATCATTTATCATACAAAAGCGATCGTGACACATAAGTTAAGAGAAGGATCACTGTGATTATGTTACAATAAATATGAGTCATAGGTTGAAAATGGAAATTAATATGGCAGCAAGTCTATTTAGCATTTATGTAGTTTTGAAATAGTGCTGCTGGTTTTTCCCTCCTTTCCCTAGAGGAGCGATCAATTATATCCCACTGGGAAAAGAGGGAAAAGTTGTGCTAAACTAGTCCTATCCAGGACAATGGGATCTGTTGCTATTAAGTCCTCCTGGCATAAGCTGGCGTAAGATTAAACACTAATCTTCAAGGCACTCACTTGAGATTCAAAGCATCTAAAAACAGGGTTAATTCCAAAAAAAAGCATCAACTTTAGGTCGAGGGACAATTTTGGCCCAAACTTTTTTTTGTTCCATAAAAAAGTTTCAACTTTAGGTCGAGGGACAATTATGGCCCGAACTTTTTTTGTCCCGTAAAAAAGCACCAACTTTAGGTCGAGGGACAATTCTGGCCCGAACTTTTTTTTGTTTTGTAAAAAAGCACCAACTTTCACTTAAATCCCAAATCTGGCCCTTATTGACTTAAAACCATTGATTTTCCAACTTGACTATTCCACCTTAGCAATAAATCCACGTGACTTGCTGACTGGATTTAAAGCATTATTCATTGTCTTATTCTCAAAGAATACGGTGACACTGTTCGTCTCCTTCACTTCACCGGCAAATCAAAAATATCTCTAGATTGAATCTTTCTGGCCAAACTTCGTCGTTTTGTCGTAATCTGAAGCTGTAGACCACCGCCCGTCGACAGACGCCATGGAAGAGATTCGCCAGGCTCACCACCATAACTTTTTTTTCTCAAACAAGGGTAACTTCAAACAGAAAGCCAATGGGGGGCCAAATTTGGGATTTAAATGAAAGTTGGTGCTTTTTTACGAGACAAAAAAAAGTTCGGGCCAGAATTGTCCCTCGACCTAAAGTTGGTGCTTTTTTATGGGACAAAAAAAAGTTCGGGCCAGAATTGTCCTTCGACCTAAAGTTGGTGCTTTTTTATGGAACAAAAAAAAGTTCGGGCCAAAATTGTCCCTCAACCTAAAGTTGGTGCTTTTTTTTGGAATTAACCCTCTAAAAACACCACATTAATCTTTTTCTTTTTCAGCATTGCTGCTGAAAGTAATAGGCATTTTCTTTATAAACAAAGCACATGGCTTGTGTCTGCTACTAAAAACTTCCTGCATGCACAAGTGAAGCATGAGGTATCCTACGGTAAAGTCAGATTGAAGATGAAGAGGGTACACTATCTCGTGATTTAAAAAGAATGCATATCTCAAACAAGGTTCTCCCGGCTGGTGTTTTTCCAAGCTACATAAGAATGGCAAGGTAGTCAACGACCTCATAAGAAGTCCAAAAATTACGAAAGAATTAGAGAATCTACAGAATGTTACAGGAAAACATCAAAACATAAGCAGCAATAAGTTAGAAATATTATTTTCTGCAGCACATTTAATATAGAGCCTAGCCTACCATGCAATAAATGCGTGAGGATTTAACATCCAGCCAGGATGCTATCCACCATATGATACCCAAGGATACAAGAAAATGTGTCATCAGAAGAAGCAATTCCAGGAGAGAGATAAGAAGCTCAATAGAAATTGGTTGACACAGGTATGTTAGTCATGTTATACTGTCGAAAACAAGCCCTCAATTATCTAATTCTATTCTATTTATAGAGGATTAGTGTGCTTGGGTGGGAGTCCCTGATGATTAAATAAACCAAGATTTTACAATGACTGCAATTGTAGAGAGACGCAAAAGTGAAGCCTATGGAGTCGCTTCTGTAACTGGATAACCAGCACCAAAAAATGTCTTTACATTGGATGGTTCGGTGTTTTGATGATCACTACCTTATCGAGTGCAACTTCTGTACTTACCTGTATGCTTACATCCCCGTTGCTTCGATTTGGCAGATGTCGAACTAGAAAGTTCCTATATCCAGAGACAAGTTGCAGTTAAGTCCACCAGAAATTCAAAATTAACTGGGAGCATACATACTATACTCCTTGAGCACTATCTGTAGTAACTCAAATGAGAAACACAAAATAAACATACCCTCTCTAGAGCTTTCGCAAATACATGATGATAGCTCTCATTATTCTGTTTGAGCACCTGAGTTTCGAATATACAGAAGAGTTGGCAACGGTAGAGGGCAATAACCAAAACCATTGATTCAAAGGACTTTAAAGGAAAGGAAAGGTGTCATTCTTTTAGAACTTTGTAGCTAACTTACACTTTCAAACTCATATTGGCATTTAAGAGGATCTGCATACAAACTACAAAAGAAGAGAGTTGATTAAGCTGTTAAACACAAGAGCAGTCATAAGAGAGCTGGCATATTGACTCACTGTTTGTAACTCCCATACAACCGTACAAGAACTTCACCTGCCAACCTCTTACTGGGTTTATTGCTCTCACTCACACTGTCACCATCAACAACCTAACAGAGAAAGCATATGAACAAAATGAACTCTTTCCCAAAGTGACATGTTGTGGACGATAGCCACAGAATACGAAGCAATTCAAAGGTTTGATGTCCAGAACCACATAAGCATTTGACAAACCTGTGCCGGCCACCATGAATCACCATTGAGCCTGACCCAAATCAAGCTCCCCGGCACAACTTCCCCTTTTGATTGAGTAGATGTACCTTCCTTACCACTATTCCCAGCAACTGATGATCTAGTACTTGAAAGATGATTTTTCTTCATAGATCCTACAAACATCACAAATAGAACATCAAGGATTATCGCCAAATTCTTCTCTTATGTCATCTTTTACTTCCCACTTTCCCCTAAAACACTATCAATTAAGTATCCCTGGCAACAAGGAGAAGTTTTATTTACACTTCCAGTTATATCGAATTTACGTAACTTTCTTTATGCAGAATTGTCCTAAATTTCTAATTTTGTTTATTATAGCTTTTAGAAGAAGAAAACCATACTTGCAACTTTCCTTTCCCCTGAATGGTCATATATAGAAATACTTTCTCATATTCATAAGCACCGCATTCTTTTTTAGGTATATGAAAATTAAAGGAATTTCTCTAAGAGATCCACAAATGTCCCCTCCAATTTCTCCCATCCTCTGTGGCATGTCATTTCAAAGATGTTGCTCTAAATTGACCTCAACAATACTCCCTCATTCTTGTCAAACTCCTATCAAACTCTACCATTTTCCTTGGATGCTTCTATGTCAGTAAAACCATCCTTCTTGTTCCTACAAACATTTTCTTACATATACTGATTCCTTCTAGCATCTTATAATCAAAGACTCTCAATGAACTTCTTCATCTCATCCACTCCTAATGAGTCCATATCAATACTTTGTCATCAAGCAAAGTTACTTCATCCTTGATGATGAATATCAATCCCCAGTATCTTACCAAGAATATCACTACACTATTCATCGTCTCATTTGACTGAACAGGAAATATTATAACCCACTCTCAATTTATAACAAGTCATAGACTTGTTCAGTTGCAGAAGATATATAATGCAGTTGTTTCCACAAGTAGAAAAACAAAAGTGCCTCCAGGTGACCACAAACAAATCTGAAACTATAATCTGACAAAAGAGATCCACGAACAATTCCACTAATTTGTTAAGATTTTACCTAAATATGGCATCAACTAATTCTCATTATCATTAGATCCCACTAGACCATTCCGATCACAGCTCGAAAGCTTGTCCACCACTAGAGTTACCTCATGCAAACCGGAAACCATATTGTTTCGAAAAGAACAAATGTTTTTTTTGGTATTTCAATAAACGAGGCGATCTCTCGACGATATCCACCATCAACACGCAGCACATTTTCTCCTTCCCTCATCGCAATGGGGCTGGAAGAAAAGAATCCTAAAGCCCAGCAAGTGCAGAGCAACACACAGCTAAGATACATGAGAAGAAATTGGGAGAAGAAAAAATCGAAACCGAGAAACAAGAGACAAGATGCTGGAGTCACACGCACGCCAAGGCACTATGCTGAACCGCTCAAACCTCGTTCTCGTGTCCGTGTTCCAAATTCCAGACAACAGCGCTTCCCCGACCTACATGTACATTACCTCCCAAGGTGATCGTCATGGTCATATGCAAGAATTTATCCGATTGATCGCATCATTACCAGTCCGACGAGTTTCGTCAACCCACATTTCAGGACTCGCAACACGACAAGTCCGTCATCCACACCGTCATCGCGCACGCACAAACGCAACGCAACACAACCGAAGGTTCTCCGCGCGTGGAGCGCAGCTTCTAACATCGGCCTGTCCACCGAGGAAACCGAAAACGCAACGAAAGCCAAAAACAGAAAAGGGGCAACAGAAGCGCGAAATGCAGCGCGTTGAACACCGATTTCGGTCCTTTTTCCGGCGGGACTTTCCCGAGCAACCGGCGCTCCGACGGAGCCCCCCGGCGCGGGGCCCGGCGCCGGGACAAGGCCGGGCCGGCCGCGCGAACGGAGACGGAATCCGGAGGAGCTCGCAGCAGCGACGGTGGAGGGGAACGGCGAGACCGTACGCACCTACTTGCGGCGGCGGCGGCGGCGGCGACGGGAACGAGAGGGAGATTTGAAATTGCGATGGTGAGCGATGAAGCGTCGTACCTGCACTGCAGTTCGTCTTCTCGGCCGACGGAGCTTCCGAGTTCCGAAGAGAAGGACGGACGTCGTGAAGACAAGAAAGTGTGAAAGTGTGACCATATACGACGGTGAAAGTCAAGACTTGGGTGGGGGGATACTTTAATAAGGAATAATAATACAAATGGCCCATAAATTTTGGCATAATGCACAGTATCGTCCATGAACTTTTAATTTGTTCAATTGCGATCTTTGAAATTTTGGTAAATCTTCAATCTAGTACCTATATTGATATGAAAGTATCCAATGTTATCGTTCAATTAATTCAAGTTCCGCGATAATATTGAACATTTCAATATAGTTCAGAAATTAAATTAAATATATATTTGTGCTTTTCAAAAAGTTAAAAGTAACATTTTGCTTTCTTGACATAATTTATAATGTTATTTGAATTTATAAAAATTGTAAGCACATCATAAATTTATATGAGATGGAAATTATGGATGTTTTCGGGTTGAAAAAAATTTCAAAGTGCATTAACACAAAATTTAGGATAAGTGAAAATGGCAAAAAGCAAAATTCTATACGGTTAAACTTTCATAGTTAAGTCAAAACTAGTCAACCTTCTTTAAACCTATTGATCTTAGGGGCGATAGGTTGCGCTCGAAAATTTGTAAATCGAAATGACTCTTGAAATAAATTAACTGAATCGAAACTGATTTGACCCGCTCGCCTGCCAAAGGCGAGTTTAGAACTTTATATTGCTCTCTTCTATTTTTAATTTGATAGCATCAATGTGATTAAACAAGTTAATGCTTATCGGAAATATTGATTGTACCCGAAGAGAAATTTGAGGTTCCAATTGCAAAAAGTTACGTAAATAAGAGGAGAAAATGTGGACTTAATTCCATTTTTTGCGCCCGTTGATCGTTCAGGTTCAACCGGGCGGTTCAAATCGAGTCAAAAACCGAATCGAACCGGCCCGTCCAAAACCTCTATCCGCCTGCAGTTTCGTCTCCGTCCTCTTTCGTTTCACTCGCTCAGAACCCTAACCCACAGACACACACACGCTCTCTCTCTCTCTCTCTCTCTCTAGCGCTACCTGTTCTCTCGCTCGCCGATCGCCTCGCCGGCGACGTAGGCCGCGAATCGCCGGCGGCCGCGGCCCCGACTTGCTTCGGCTCACCGCAGTCCGAGACGTTCCAGGTTCGAGGAGCCTCTTTCTTCTTCCCCTGCGCTTGCGTTTCTCTCTTATCGGATTCCCGCATTGGAATTTGTCTCGTTGCAGGACGCTGTCCCCGCCGCCGTGCTCTTGCCGCCGTCTCTCTAAAATGCGCAGGTTAGTCCCTGGGGATGCGCGATTCGAAGCTCGTTTACACCTGTCAAAACAAGGGTGGATGTGTGAATTTGCATAACGTTTCATTTGCATGACATTTACTAACTGTGTTAAGCACTGAGCTGAATTCGTTGTTCGGGTAATTCGACACGATTATTGAAGGTGACAGCGCTTCGCATTGTCGCTATCTTTTGAACATAGACGGCTTTTCGCATTAGCCGAACCTATGTGACTCTCCTGTTTTAGTGCGGTATGATTACAGCACGGCAACATTACACGATTAAGTTGTCCATTCGAGCCTATCCCTGACACCGGGATGCTGTTCCCTAATGCCTCTCTGTTGAAGCTTAGTCTTCAAAGTTATTATGAATTCAATGGGATGCTGTTTGTTTGGAGGTTTCTCGTCTTAGTGGTCGGTTATGCATCTGGAGAGCTCATTTAGTGACTTGGAATAAACACCACCTTGGCTATAGAACCGCTACAACTGCTTGTTGCATCTTTTTGAAGCATGGTTCGTATTTGATGTCAAAAGAAACTTCTTTGTCTTGCCTTTTTGTTTTTGAGCGCATTCTGTTCTTTGTATTTCTGATAGCGTAACCCGTAATGCATAATCACAAATGACTCTTATTGGATGCAAAATTGACTATCAAAGCATGAATAGTAGGCTTTTTGTTTGATTTTTTATGTGAGTAGATTTGATACGTTGTATTATGGATGTAAAGAAGTGAGTTCCAGTCTCTTTGTATATCTCGTCGGTAGGATTTATACGTAGCCTCTGTAGTTCTAACTGATTTGATAGTGTCCAAATTACTATTGTCAGGGTTGTTGTATCAGTTAGATAGCTTAAAGAAGAAAAGGACAATTTCTTTTTTAAGATGAGATGGATATCAGGGAAATATGGAAATATATTGAGTAATTTTTCTGAATTCTGCTTATGTTGAATATGTGTTAATAGGTGAAGACTTAATCGAGTGAAGGAATCATACAAGAAAAGCAGTGATGGTGGAAGTGTGGTGGCCTTTGCTTGGAGCAGTGATACCTGCCATTGTTGGAGGGCAAGCTTGGAGGATAAGGAAAAGGCGAGCTGAGGAACAGAGGTTGAAGAGCGTGAGAGGGCGAGAAAAGAGCTCCGAAGAGATATTTGTCTGCGAGAGGGTCTGCACTTCAAAGAGAATGCTGAAGAAGGTCGGCTCATTTTCCAAAGACCCAACTCCTGATACATGTGTCACTGTTTGTGGTGTATCCCAGCTTGATGCTTGTGCTGATGCATGTGCAAGAACCGTCTGTGTTAATCAACACCAAGTGCCCAATTGGAATGATATTTGTCTTAGGAGGTGCCAGAGCGAGTGCCTGAGGCTCTCTAATTCCTCTGATGCATCTTAGTAGTCATATACTGTACCCTCTTTATTACTTGTGCAAATGTTTTTTTCGATCCTTTTCTTAAATAGATCAGTTGTCATAAAACATGTTTTGTTCCATGACAGCTGAGTTGTCTACAAGTATCCACCACTATTCTCGTAGTGTTGGCATTTTCTCGTGTGGATTCTGCTAGATGACCAATTTGTTTCATCTTGGATTTACTGGAGTACAATTTGGTTTTAGCTCCTTATCATTCCATGGATTTTCTTGGTATTCTTCTTGCCGAACTCCTGTTGGTTATTTGTCAAATGCTCATCTTATGGGTATAACACCTTGGGACTCGCTTAGGGCCCCCAATTCATATGAATCAAGAACTCAAGGAAATTTGAGATATCTGAAGATTTCTGGACGAGTCTTGATGTTCTTTGAAGGGAGAAGTTTTCAAATTCTTGTTATGGGAGGCTCAGATGTGTGAGAACAAGCATTCCAATAAGATACAATTGTTTCTGCTAGGCCTGTTACTCTTACGACTTTGTTCCTATCTCTGCTAGCAACTGTTCTACCTAATTTGGGACAATTTATGTGTGATTGCCGGAAGATCAACAATCTGTCATATCATGTGTTGTCTTCTTGTTTATGAAAAGATTAGGCCAAGATTACTAAACGGAACAGGTATATTATCCCAAGGAAAGAATAGCAAAAAATATAGGCAGGAAATCGAGATACCCATAGGCCTCGAACAAGGCCTATGCTCTCACCTTTTTTTGCTTTTACCGACCCAACCCGAATGAATTGGATGAGCCAACCACTATGGAACGGCGAATGTGGACATGTCGCGATGGTTTTACCTGTCATGTTGCAAGTCAGGAAGTCTTTCCAGGTAATGTAGCAATTGCCCAAGAGAGAGGTTGGTATGGGATTCGTGCGTCATGGCTTGTAGTTATAACCTTATGCACGGCACAGATACCGTGACTCATTTACTACTGAAATACTTTGCTCGACGGTGAAATTATAATCTAATTGAAGTTTGTTTTGGCGATAATTTATCTCTTGCTTTCTCCAATTTTCTTACCCTTTCTCTGGTCTCTCACCCCCGCAACATACTCTAGTTTCCATTTTTCGCTGACGAATATATTACACAATGCACCCTTGAAACAAAACAATTAAGTGATCTGTCAATGAGCTAACTTTTTCTTGCAAAATAACTAATACTTCAAAAGTAAGGAGTATTTTCTCGTTATTATGCTTAACAAATGCTCCTATAATGATTGTTAGCACAACCTTGTTGTTGATAGTAAGTTGTGACCAAGAATTTGAGTATTTCACTCAAATCATTTCTAATTCAATAACAGGGTTTCGGATTTGCGAAGTAGGCATTTTCTAGGCCTGCTTTAAGCTGAGGCGTGGATCTGGATTGGCCATCTTTTAGGCCTCATTTCCAACAGCGTTGTGTGCGAGAGCCTCTTGAAGTCTTGACCAGCTTCTCAAGGTATTCTCTAGCTATTCTCGATCGCGGGTGCCCGTCACGCAACAACGCTGAACTAGCTCCAAATCCAAAGATATAGAACTCCATCGATTTTTACATTTTACTTTTTACTTAACAAAAATATTACGATTTCCGTACTTTTTTTTTTTTCTAACTTGAGATATTCGAAACTTTCGGTATATATGAATATTGATACGTAGGATCACATATATTGTTTGTAAATTTTAAAATTTCACATAATATTTTGAATTATGGCGGAATTTTTTGCATTAGCCTAATGCCAAACAAGCAATGGTTTCAAAGACAAAAGACTTATCAAGAAAGTGGGAAAAAGTTGGAACCAATAGAGTGCGAAGACAAGCTTGATCTTGACCGCAAAATTCAAATTCGATCCCCATCCAACATGTGAACACTAGTCATGCGAAAAATAAGGAGGGGTTAAAACCCTTGCCGCTTTCTCTTCTCGCCCTCCTCTCTCTGGTTCCCTTTTCTCTTTCACTCCAAGCTCCCTCGATTGAGAAATCACTGTCAGTCGAGGGAGGCTCCATATTCTCAATCCCAATCTGATCGATGAGTATTTTATTGTTTTCATCTAATATTTTTTTTAGTTTTTTGTTCGCTACTGGTGCTCTTTTTCCGCTCGCCGGACGTATTTCATTTTCATCGTTAGGTATCAACCCTTTGCTTAAGATTCTCCAAACCAAGAAGTCTAACATAATCGATAAGGAATACGGTGAGTTCCTATTGCTTGGAACTGGTTATATGACTTCTTAAAGATTTTAAAATTCTCATCTCCCAATCTAAATCTAGATTTGGGAACGCTTCTCTTCCGATCTAGATTTAGATTTGGGAGTTCCTTAGAGGTGTTTCTATACTCGTCCAACCTCTCCTAATCTATCCGACCAAAAAAAAAAACCTCCCCCGATCTAGATCTAAGAGCTTGTTCAACTTTAAGAGCAATATTGTTGAAACTTGAAATATTATCTTATATCGCTTGACAACGGATCCTAATGGATCTTTATATTCATGTAGTCTCCCTCCACCTATAAGCTTAAACTTTTAGATTGGACTATCTAACATGGTATCAGACGTAAATGTGCGTAGTCAAAATTTAATGAGCATTTCGTAATCCCACTTGATATATTCAAGTAGTCTCCCTCCACCTATAACTTATAGCTTTTGCGTTGGACTTTCTAACAAATACCGTAGCCGATTGTTAATGTGATTATCGCAAATCATTATTTCTTTATCTCCTTTGTATATAGTAATTATAAATAGTAAGTTTAATTAAAAGATCTTGTTTGTTAAGCAACAAGATGCTTCTTTTGAAGTGTCACACTTCACACTAGCGCTAGAAAAATAAAAGTTAGGGTTCCGGTATAGACTTTATGGGTTATTGTACTCGTTGGTTTCTCGAATCCAGTTCCTAAGTTTAAATAAAGGCATTCGAAAACGGAATAAACCAACGGACCAACTTGAAACGACGCATCAGAACCTATCCACAAATTGACATTGCAAAGGACGCATAAAAGGAAAGGAGCGAGGAGCCAAGGCAAGAGGCCAATGAAATATAGACAACCAACAAGGTCCAAGTCTCCCTTCTGGACCATCCGAAGAAGACTTTGAAGAATAAGAATCCTCCTATCTATATCTCGAAATGGAACATGAAGGGCACCGAAGAAGACGAAGCGTCGGTTGATGGATAGAATCTTGAACAGAAAGTTTCGGGGGCTCAAAAAGGATGCTGAACAAGCTGAGGTGCGTGGAACATTTTAGTCGTTTGGAGCGCAATAACGGAAGAAGTTGTCAATAGGTACATTGAATCTTGAATAGAAAGTGTTGCGGACTCGAAAGGACACTGGATAAGCTGGGGTACTTGGACCACCTAAGTCTTTTCGTGGCGCGGACGTGGATCCTCCGCCTCTCGGGCGGTGTTTTCATAGATCGATGTCTTGAGCTATTTCGGTCATCGATGCATTTCATGTCGACGTATATCAATGATCGAGAAGTGGTCATGCTCGTGCTGTGATGTGTCGAGGTACACTATGTGTATTTGGGAAGACATGTAAAGCGTACCGATATCTTGAAATTGAAATTTAGTGTGCATGTGTCTATATATAGGTGTGTATCAAATACCCTACAAAATTTGAAGCGCGTGCTTTCACAATTGTAGCTTTTGCGGAGATTGTGTTCTTCGAATTCTCTAATGGTAATTTTACTTCGAAGATAGTGGCTCCACCACGTGATATTACATATGGTTGCTGATAACATCAATAAAAACTTGTGGTATGTACAGTTGAAAATGAATTTTGGTTCTATCTAATTTGGTATTCTTAATAGGCCGGTGAATATTGTCCAATCAGTCTTAAACTTATTGTACGGATGACAATTTAGTCTTGAATTTTCAACATAAACCTTTATGCGAAATTCCACTATAGTCCTTTCAGCAAATTTCACCAAAAATCGTTGACTTGGCTGTGTGCTATGTAGGACGACCGGTGATGATTGGGCCACTATGTTAGTGATTTCTGGCAAAAATTGACCGGTGATGATTCGTGCGACATGGCTCGAAGTTATAACCTTAAGCACAGCACAAATACCGTGACTCATTTACTACCGAAATACTCCGCTTGACAGTGATATTATAATCTAATTGAAGGTTGCTATGGTGATAATTTATCTCTTGCTTTCTCCAATTTTCTTACCCTTTCTCTGGTCTCTCACCCCCGCAGCATACTCTCCGTACCCCACCTTCTCTCTCAAACACACCTAGTTTCCATTTTTCGCGGACGAATGTATTACACGATGCACCCTTGAAACAAAACAATTAAGTAATCCGTCAATGAGCTAACTTTTTCTTGCGAAATAACTAATACTTCAAAAATAAGGAGTATTTTCTCATTATTATGCTTAACAAATGCTCCTATAATGATTGTTAGCACAACCTTGTTGTTGATAGTAAGTTGTGACCAAGAATTTGAGTATTTCACTCAAATCATTTCTAATTCAATAACAGGGTTTCGGATTTGCGAAGTAGGCATTTTCTAGGCCTGCTTTAAGCTGAGGCGTGGATCTGGATTGGCCATCTTTTAGGCCTCATTTCCAACAGCGTTGTGTGCGAGAGCCTCTTGAAGTCTTGACCAGCTTCTCAAGGTATTCTCTAGCTATTCTCGATCGCGGGTGCCCGTCACGCAACAACGCTGAACTAGCTCCAAATCCAAAGATATAGAACTCCATCGATTTTTACATTTTACTTTTTACTTAACAAAAATATTACGATTTCCGTACCTTTTTTTTTTCTAACTTGAGATATTCGAAACTTTCGGTATATATGAATATTGATAAGTAGGATGACATATATTGTTTGTAAATTTTAAAATTTCACATAATATTTTGAATTATGGCGGAATTTTTTGCATTAGCCTAATGCCAAACAAACAATGGTTTCAAAGACAAAAGACTTATCAAGAAAGTGGAAAAAGTTGGAACCAATAGAGTGCGAAGACAAGCTTGATCTTGACCGCAAAATTCAAATTCGATCCCCATCCAACATGTGAACACTAGTCATGTGAAAAATAAGGAGGGGTTGAAACCCTAGCCGCTTTCTCTTCTCGCCCTCCTCTCTCTGGTTCCCTTTCCTCTTTCACTCCAAGCTCCCTCGATTGAGAAATCACTATCAGTCGAGGGAGGCTCCATATTTCTCAATCCCAATATGATCGATGAGTATTTTATTGTTTTCATCTATTTTTTTTTAGGTTTTTTTGCTCGCT